AGTGCTTCCAGGTTTTTAATGTTGATCTATTCATGATCTCTATAGAAAGTCAATAATCTCCACAACCCTTAGCTATTAGTCACTCAAATAAGTTGTTTACCATCAGAAAAACAATTCATAAATCTAAAATACTAAAAAAATTTTTTAGATTGTGCACTAAAACAACGACTAACTATTTACATACTTCGTATTACGTAACTGTCATCAGTTATTAAAAAGAAATTTTTCTTTCCCATATTTCAGTTTACTAAATATGTCAAAACAATATTATATTATAACTACTACATCGATTATCCTACAATTGGTTTGTATTTGCACTAGTAACAAAAACTCACATAGGAACAAGGCAGTATTAAGATATAAAGTATTGATTGAATGAATTAAATGTACCTTGAATTAGTAATATTCGGAAGTGTATTCTTCGAAGCGATTCTATAATAAAATTTTATGCAATTCTTCAGTTAATTAGAGTAAACCATTATGTTATTGAATAAAAAATAGTAAAAAAAAAAAGAATTCAGTGAAAATCTCCTCTTCTTGACAAAATCACTTACTACAGATTGAAATCATTAGTCACTTGAAGCTAGACCACCATGGAAAACCTGCAAGCACTGGACGGCCGTTTCGTCCTAGTATGGGACTTCCCAATTGACGCACGATTCCAATCTGTGAAATTTCTGAATTTTCCACAAACCCCTTCTGATAATAATCATCTGCTCACTAGTCACTGACTTCAAGAGATACTCCCGGAAATCTAGTGAGAAGCCGTTACCAGTGGATTTTAACCAGGTCTGTAGTGAGATAGTAACTAACTGGTGATAATGGTGGATGTGTCGATCAACTTCGTCGATTAGTTGAAGTTAGACATTAACGCCGCTGGATGTTGGCCAACTCAATGGTCTAGTTGGTTAAGCGCTTGGCGTGAGACTGATAGGTTCTGGGTTCGAAGCTCGTGGGTTGCGGGATCGTGGATGCTCACTGCTGAAGAGTCCGATACTAGGACGAAACGGCCGTCCAGTGCTTGCAGGTTTTGCATGGTGGTCTAGCTTCAATTGACTCATGATTTCAATCTGTGGAATTTCTAGAGTCTCCACAAACTTCTTCTGATAAAATCATTTACTTAGGTTATACATTCGTATTTATAGTTGTAGGGTAAATATATGTCTATAGAAAGATAGAAAAGATTGTATTATATAGTGATTTGAGACTCCAAATATTAGATTTGGTTGCGTAACAATCAGGGGATTCGAGAAGTATATAAGGAAGGAAAGAAATTTCGCTTTCTAAACACATCTCAGAACATTACCCCACATGGCTTTCAAAAAGAGAATACAAAACAATTATTGGTTCAATACACGAAAATATAATCCACTCTAGATAAATCACTACGAAAGAGCTTTCTTTCAAAATAATCTACACAACCAAAGGAACTGGATCGAAGGAAGGTCGAATCAAAAACTTATGCACTGCTGAGGCGTTGGTGATTCAACAATCTAAGCTCGAAATCTGAGTGCGAAACTGATACATCCAAACTCACATTGTTCCTTCGTCCTAATTTCCTTGTGCAGTGTTTTAGTCCTGTTTTTTGTTTTTAATTATTGTTTTGTAATTCCAAGCCGTAATCAGTTATTATTCTCCTCTAACAACTTTTCACAATTATTATTCATTTAATAGTTGAGTTCATGAGTTAGTTGAAGCTAGACCACCATGGAAAATCTGAAAGTACTAGGCGACCGTCTTGTCCTATTGTGGGGCTCCTCAACAGTGCGCATCCACGATCTCAATTTCAGGATTCTAACTCAGAACCTTCAGCATCGTTCGCAACTTCGTGGATTGGTTGAAATTAGTCATTAACACCGTTGGATGCCAACTCAGTGGTTTAATGGTTAAGCGCTCGCGCAACAGACTGATGAGTCCTAAGTTTGAATCCGTTGAGGGGCGGTTTCGTGTATGTGCACTGCTGAGGAGTCCCATACTAGAACGAAACGGTCGTCCAGTACTTCCAGGTTTGCCATGGTGATCTAGCTTAAAATGACTCATGATTTCAACTATTGAGATTACTAAAATCTCCACAAAACCCCTCCTGATACTTTATTAGTCTTATCAGAAGATACTATTACCACATATTGTGTCACATCTCTATGAAATGATATGTGATTATAAAGTGGAGAGATCCTATTTTTCGGTTAATGTAAAAATTTGAAAACTGTACATTAAATAATTCACTTGCAAATCTTCCATCCTTGATGATTCTCCCAAATTTACAATTCTTTTATGTTTCTCTTTTTGTTTTCTTTATTTCAATATTCTCAACCTTGTTTTGATAGACATTCCATATCTGGTTAGTGTTACATACTACTTATATCGACAGATATAATTAGCATACACCATTAACAGACTATTAAAGAAGGAATTTACACCGCCCAATTTAATCTCACCATTAATCTAAACATTCTTATTGATGATATATCTACTTAGTTAAAATTTTCATTTTATTAGTTTAATGGAAATAGAATACCGTTGAAAATTTTATCCTCAAAGACAAAGGAGAAGAAGAAGAGGACCAAAGAACACATTACGCCTAGAAATCGTAACAGGCATAAGAAGAATGAATAGCAATTGGATAGAACTAGAAAAGAAAGCTTAAGATAAAATGGGTTGAAGAATGCTGGTCAACGGCCTATGCTCCATTGGGAGTAACAGACGTAATTAAGTAAGTAATGATTCCACTATTCTCTTTCTTCATTTATTTATCAATTTTCTATATCAATTAAAAAACATTAATTAAAGGTTATCACTTTTATATTCTGTAAATAAAATCAATTTAGGAAATGAAACCGGAAAAGTGATTTATGCACTAGTTTAAATTAACTTGTTGTTCATTTAACTTTAATGTTAATAATCATAAATTGAGGTCAAATACCGAAAAATTCATTTATATGCAAAGTAGTTTCAAAACCTTACAATACTCTCACTCTCTATGTAGATGGATAGATAGATAGATGTGTGGATAGATAGATAGATAGATAGATAGATAGATAGATAGATAGATAGATAGATAGATAGATAGATAGATGTGTGGATAGATAGATAGATAGATAGATAGATAGATAGATGTGTGGATAGATAGATAGATAGATAGATAGATAGATAGATAGATAGATAGATAGATAGATAGATAGATAGATAGATAGATAGATAGATAGATAGATGTGTGGATAGATAGATAGATAGATAGATAGATAGATAGATAGATAGATAGATAGATAGATAGATAGATAGATAGATAGATAGATAGATAGATAGATAGATAGATAGATAGATGTGTGGATAGATAGATAGATGTGTGGATAGATAGATAGATAGATAGATAGATAGATAGATAGATAGATGTGTGGATAGATAGATAGATAGATAGATAGATAGATAGATAGATAGATAGATAGATAGATAGATAGATAGATAGATAGATAGATAGATAGATAGATAGATAGATGTGTGGATAGATAGATAGATGTGTGGATAGATAGATAGATAGATAGATAGATAGATAGATAGATAGATAGATAGATAGATAGATGTGTGGATAGATAGATAGATAGATAGATGTGTGGATAGATAGATAGATAGATAGATAGATAGATAGATAGATAGATAGATAGATAGATAGATAGATAGATAGATAGATGTGTGGATAGATAGATAGATAGATAGATGTGTGGATGGATAGATAGATAGATAGATAGATAGATAGATAGATAGATAGATGTGTGGATAGATAGATAGATAGATAGATGTGTGGATAGATAGATAGATAGATAGATAGATAGATAGATAGATAGATAGATAGATGTGTGGATAGATAGATAGATAGATAGATAGATAGATAGATAGATAGATAGATAGATAGATAGATAGATAGATAGATAGATAGATAGATAGATAGATAGATAGATAGATAGATGTGTGGATAGATAGATAGATAGATAGATAGATAGATAGATAGATAGATAGATAGATAGATAGATAGATAGATAGATAGATAGATAGATAGATAGATAGATAGATAGATGTGTGGATAGATAGATAGATAGATAGATGTGTGGATAGATAGATAGATGTGTGGATAGATAGATAGATGTGTGGATAGATAGATAGATAGATAGATAGATAGATAGATAGATAGATAGATAGATAGATAGATAGATAGATAGATAGATAGATAGATAGATAGATAGATAGATAGATAGATAGATAGATAGATAGATAGATAGATAGATAGATAGATAGATAGATAGATAGATAGATAGATAGATAGATAGATAGATAGATAGATAGATAGATAGATAGATAGATACAGTGATGTTAGGAGAAGTTTAAGGGCAAAACAAACATCAAAGTTATCAGTAAGCATTAAAAGGTATTCATTTAACAAATTTTAATTTTTACAGATTATTAATTCGGCGAAATTCCTATTGATAAATATAAATTTGTTAAACTAGTTTTCAGAGATCGTTGATTCGGAAAAAGCTTTGACAAATTGATCTATTTTTTTATTGTGTATTAGATTAATACTAAAATTGAGATAAACAATCATAACTGATCAGTGATTATTTAAAAATCTATTTGTAACTGTGTCAGATTCTTCAATACGAACGTTAAGATAGTTCAACTGTACGAAGCTAAGACGTAGAGAACTACTATAACCATCATCAAAATGGTACAAGTATTTATAAATAACTGTCTACACAAGATACTCAACATTCATTGGCTGAACCTTCGAGAACTACCACAACGATAATCAGAAATGTACAAGTATTTATAAACAATTGTTTATACAAGATAATCATTGTGCATTAACTGGATGACATCAGCAACAGCCTTCTGTGGGAGAGGACAAATCAACTTCCGACTGAAGAGGAAATTAGGAGAGGACGTTTGAATTGGTTAGAACATACATTGAAGAAATCAACAAACTATATCACGAAAAAAGCACTAACTTTTAATACTGAAGTGGAACGAAAAGCGGAAGGCCGAAGAACACATTGACTTGGTAATTGGAAACAGACATGAAAAGGATGAATAGCAACTGGAAATAACAGGGAAGGATTGCTCAGGACAGGTTTGCATGGAGAATGCTGGTTTCGGCTTATGCTCATTCATGAGTAGTAACAGGCATAAAGAAGGAAGTATTTGAAACTGTGTTCCTATTCCTGCATAAAATGATAATAGCTTGATGAGTTATTCAGTTAATCAACGCAAATAATTCATTATCTACTTAACTTATTTCTTGTATTTTCGTGATTTGAAAACCACAATATCATTTGTATATTAATTCAACAAGTAATGATAGAGCTCATGAACCGATTGATGTTAGACTGAGACCGAAGGCCTTGGGTTGGAATCTCACGAGCGGCATCAAGGATGAGCACTGCTTCGGAATCCCACAATAGGATGAAACAGCCGTCCAGTATTTCCAGCTTTACAACGTTGGTTTAACATTAATCGGTTCACGATTTCAATCAAAACTTAATAATCTTCACAACCCAATACTGATAAGTAATGATAGATTAATTTTACAGATATCTTAATTAAGGATCTCAAATTCAGCAAATTCAGATGTCATGTCTATTTGATGTTCAATACATAGATAAGTAGAAGTAAGTTCGGCAAAATGAAATAAACTAGTCAAATGGTTGATATTATCAGTGTAACTTTTCTCTTCCCATAGAATACATGTTCATTGATTTTAAAAACAAAATTATTGATAATAAGTACTGATTGTGGGTTATGGTGTAAGTATATTGATTGCCAATAAGCTAGACACGAATTACTACAGTTTAAAGTGGAAGGTTTTCTATTAAGGTACTGTAGAACTTTCAGAGTTTATCGCTTTTCGCAGTAAAAAGAAGCGAGTGTCGGTTATCGATCACTTTTAAAACCTTGGTACAAAAAGCAAAGGTTGACTGGAACGAATCTGTGACTAATTTCTATAAGTTATTTATATTTAATTAAAACTCATGTTTCTAGAATTCTGAATAGTTCTTTATCAGACTTTTCCATGAATTCATTTGAAACGATTGGCATAGAATTGGTTCTTATGTAACTGTTCAATATGTGATCTTGTTAACTCGAACTGATCATAAAATATGAATTCCAGTTATCTGATTTCATTCACAATAAAGTTTTCATCTAGTTAGCAGCATATTATTCTAATGTGAATATGATTTTCTCAAACGATTTTTCAACGAAAATTCAATGTTCTTCAAATACCATTGCTTTGACAGATTCATTACATATGTGTTTACATTTTTCAATATGGATTACATATTTTATCTTTAATCAAACTTTTGAGTTAGTTCAATATTACAGATTCAAATCTCGCGAGAAGGGATCGTAGATGCGCATTGCTGAGGAGTCCCACAATAGGACGAAATGGCCGTCCAGTTTCTCCAAGTTTTCCATGGAGATCTAACTTCAATTGACTCATGATCTCAACTATTACAATTATTACAGATTTCTCAATAATTTATTCAATCTATCATTTATTGTGATATAAAAGAAAATTAGCCTTATCCTAATTAATACTCTGTAACTCATAGCATAACACATCGCTAAGCAGATAAGTTACAAGTTACATTTTCTCCTAGTTTCAATCACAGATTATTAGCCGCTTTGATAAGTTAGTAGTTTACAAGTCCCTGTCAGTCACTTCTTTTTTATTGTACATAACTACTAGTCTGCTCCTAACTCATGCATATATATATAAATATATGAAGAAGATTGATATAAGGCAAGTATACTGTGAATTAATGATCAGGACATTTCAAGAAATTGTCTTTGTATAATCATTAATAAATCTATAATTTCCCTCAAGTCAGTATTTTTATTATGGTTTAAGTAAACATTTTTCACTTTATCCTCAATGCATTTCTTACGCGATGAGGTAAACCTTTTTAAGAACAGTTCTAATGAGTAAATGAGATGTCATTAACATTAATAATTTCATGACTTAGAAAGTACAATTTTAAACATATATATATTACTATTATTCTTTGGATATAATAGTGTAGTGTTATGCAAGTTCACGCAGCTTATTCTAGCTTCCAGAAAAGTCAGTTTATCTATTCTAATCAAGCTAGATTTTGACCATGTTAATGATTCGCTTGTCAACTTTGACTGGTTTTATGTAGGCTCATATGTGTGTATTTTTTATCTTACTCATCATATGTCTGCAACGTCTTTTTGTGTGACTATAAATATTGATTAACTTTTCATTAAATCGAATTGGTTTACATGCCTTCTCCACTGTGTATCATTTCGTTTCACTCTCTTCTATTCGCTTCGTCCCTCTGATTGTCTATTCAGATCAATGATTGTACAAAATATAGGTATTCAAACATCCATTCTTGTATTTGACTTATTTCATTCCGTTATTCACCAACGGGCATTAAGTCGGTGATTATAGACGAGGATCGATTATATGTATATTATCAGTAACAATCATTCGTACCATCTAATTGGATTCAGATTTAAGACCACAAAAACAGAGTACATCACCGAAATTTCAGTATTTACTAAATAGATTCTCTTCATTTTATAGTGAAACTGTTTTTTAGGTAGAATTCAATTATCAACATTGTTTATAGCTATGACATACAGTATGTCAATATAACAATAATGTGTACATATTATTTTCAATATAAACCAATATTCTTATGAACCATTAGCCATTTTTATATTCCCACAATTAATTATCATGATATTTCTTTTTAATGTATTATGTAATTTTGCAAATGCCTGACATACAAACTACAATTTTACAATAGATGCGGCCGTTTTTTCTTAACAACATGAATCCATTATGTCTATTATAATGAATGACGATGAATAAAGTCATATTTGTTTCTAATAGCAATCAAATAAATAAGAGTGATGTAAATATACTCTTAATGATAACTATTGGAGTCAGTATAAGCTAGACCATCAAGGAAAATCTGGAAGTATTGGACGGCCATTTCATTTTGGTTGAGAATTTTCAGAAGTGCATATCGACGATTCCGCTCAACTAGATTCAAACCCAGGATCTACTGGTCTCGAGCGTGAACGCTTAACCTCTAGACCACTGAGCTGGCCGGCATCCAACAGTGGTAATGTCTAACTTCAACTAACTCACGAAGTTTTTTTTCAATAACAAACAGATACTTTTGAGTGATATGAATAAGCTTTTAATGATAACTATTGGAATTAAGAACTGGCTTTCATCATTATATATATCTTGAACGAAATATATGATGTAACCTTTTTGAATAGGTAATACAATATATCATGATGAATATCACATACCAGAAGGGGTTTTTTGGTGAAGAGCCTGGCGCGAGACTGATAGGTCCTGGGTTCGAAGCTCGTGGGGTGCGGGATCATGGATGCACACCGTTGAGGAGTCCCATACTAGAACAAAATGGCCGTCCAGTGCTTCCAGATTTTCCATGGTGGCCTAGCTTCAGTTGAGTCATGATTTTAATCAGTGAATATCATATACTTTGATTTATTTAACAACAACAAAATGTATCTATTTCATACAGCTCAAAATTTTACATGTTTCCTATACCGATGTTACAATCGATAAACATTTTAGATTAAGCAAATATAATAACAGAAATAATGCACAGTTATAATAAGTTTAAATACAGGTCACAGTTTACTTAAAATTCAAAATTTATATTTAATTCTCATTTATGTTACTGTACATGTTTAATTATTATCAGTATAGGGTTGTGGAGTTCGTTAGGTTTTTGATTGAGATCATGAACGGACTGGTGTTAAATCACTATTGCAAACCTGGCGGCACTAAACAGCCATTTCGTCCTATTGTGGGACTCCTCAGCAATGTGCATCCACGATGCCGCTCGAGGGGTTCGAACTTAGGGCCCTAAGTCTCGCGCGCGAACGCTTAACCTCTAGACCACTGAGCCGTTTAATTATTGTTATAAAAAGGTTTACTTTGAGCTCACACAGTGAAGTCGATCCTGTTAGACTATTCATTGTTCAATGGGATTTATACGCTATGACTGGCTGTGATTTTTCACTTCCAACTTTATTCATTTATCTGAATGAGACCATTGAAACTTATATTAATGAGTAAATCCTCTGGAGTTTTTAGATTTTCTTAATTTTTGCTGTGAACTAAATTTAAGTCTCAATATGTTTTATCATTCTTAATGTGGCTACAGATGAATATAAATTGAAATATACTATTGTCTGTCTTCATATATTTCCTTTTGTATAACATAACGGTCATGAATGAATTGTGTATATAATTATGCTATGTTTGAAGCGATTATGAATTCATCTAATTTAAGAAGGGAACGAAGATTCTGTTACACAATGACAGAAAGCTAGCTATTCTGACACGTCCCAGCCCTGCTAACTAGAGAAAGAAGTCCAATTTTGAATTGGGGAAATATATTCCGCAAACATCCAGAAACATGAGCAATAACATCAGGCACAAATCAAACGTACATGTACAGAATAAAATTGTCCTTGGAAAATGTTACAACATGGTATACTAAATGATACAACAAACCAATAGTGTTTAAGATCTTACCCAGTGGGAAATACCACATGAATGTGAAAATGAGCGCTTCTGGCGCGAAAACAAGAAATTCGAATTCTTAAAATAAAATTACAAAAGTAAGGTATTTACCAAGTCAGTTCTATGGATCTAACATCCCCAATAAAATGTAATGTAAGAAACATGACACTTGCTTACAAATTTCACCAATGATACGATCATTCAGTCTATCATCTTAAATGTATAAATGTAGGTTAATTTATTTTATCTAATATCATGAATTCATATATTTAATATTTTAAGGTAAATTATTCAATCCAAACTTATAATGAAAACATCTTTAAATAGAGACCAATAGAGTTAAGTCATGTCACATATGAGACAGTTATCCAGCACAAGTAATGATAAGTAGTTTAGTAATATCATAAACTCATTCAAGGTAAATTAATGTACTAATGTACTATTTGATACTACGTCAATGATCCAGATGTCAAACATTCGACTGCCCCCCCCCCTCATTATAATGGAGTTATGAATATGAACCAAAGGGAAGTTTTATATTATAACGGAACAATTATCAATTACTTCTTGGTTTTTAGTGATGATCATTAATTCATTTCTCTATAAATCTAATCAGATCACTGAAGACAATGGTGGACGGTGGAGTAAATTCATAGATTGGTTGAAATTAAACATTAATACCGTTGAATGTCGGCTAACTCAGTTGTTTAGTGGTTAAGGGTTTGCGCACCAGACTGATAAGTCCTGGGTTTGAATCTCGCGGGGGCGGGATTGTGGATGCTCACTGCTAAGGAGTCCCATACTAGAACAAAACGGATGTCTAGTGCTTGCAGGTTTTCCATAGTGATCTAGCTTCAAATGATTCATGATTTCAACTATTGAAATAATAATAAAGAAAATATATTCATAAGATATGACTTACTTTTTCCTTTCTTAGAACCTGTTGTTGCTCCATACATTATGATTCTTAGTAGTATATATATATATATATATGTATATATATTCAGTGTTTAATTTGGATGTCTTCTTCAATCACACTTATATAATTCATAGCATAGTTACAATTTTGATTGTTTTAATCAATGTAGAATAGAAGTGGATTTCTTTTTAAACAAACAAACAAACAAATAAATAAATAAACATAATTCTTCTTATTAAAATTATATTGAATATGCTTTAATTGTTATATTGATAATGTAAATTGGATTGAACTACTTTGTATTATTATCACGTTTATGAAAATAGTTAGTGTATTATACATGTATATGTTCATAGGCTTAAACTGTTATCATCCAGTTACTATGGCTTAAAATAATGAATGAAATTGACAGAACAGAAAATTGAAAAATTGAAACTGAAACGGTTTTTTCTTCTTCAAACAAACATGGAATCCATGTGTATACAATAGAAATGAGATTTATATTCATCTATTTATATATGATAGATATACAGACATATATATGTATATTCTACTTCTTTGATTTTATATGTCTGTCTCTCGATCAAACGGTAAAAAGTGTTGTCAAGTTGATGATGAAGAAAATTGTCATGAAAATATTTTTTCTTATTAAAAAGTAAAGATGAATATGTAGTATCTTTTTTAGTTTAGATGTTTAATTTACTTATTTAGGCCTATGATCCCTCATGAATGAGTATAAGGCATTCAACAGAATTCTTCATCCGATACTTGCCAGTTACGTATGCCTGAACACCGATTACCACGACGTGCAATGCTAACTGGTGTTTGAGATGGTTGGAAGAAAGTTAAGGGTGGTCAAACCAAAACGTGGCATCAGTGGTTGAAGTCACTAACTTCTAGTCTGAGCCATGTTGGGAGATGTAGACTACTTGGTTGGGGTAGCATGACTATCGTAACCAATGGTTGGACACTCTGACTGACATGGCTCAGAATCGATCACAATGGCGTCGGTGTATACACTCTCTGTCTTCCCTTAAACTAAGATTAAAATCGCTTCATATTTTTCTTTCTACGTTCTAATTCTTTCTTCCTGTACCAATTCCTTATATACAATCTTTCTTCTATATATTACCACCTCTGAATTAACTACTTTTATGAATCCGGTGTTTATGTTGTTGTGTTAATGAGGTTTGGCAACTTGAACCGATGCATATATATGCCTGGTCCTACGTTGTAGCTGACTGACTGACTGACTTGCCAGTTACTATTCATCCTTTTCATGTCTGTTTTCAATTACTGAGTCAATGTGTTCTTCGGTCTTTCTCTTTTCGTTTCAATATAGTATTCTAGTTTGGTGATTTCTGAAATGTATGTCCTATTCACCTACAAAGTCTTTTCCTAATTTCCTCTTTAGCTGGAAATTCGTACATTCTCTTCGACATTTGACTGTTACTGATAATATCCAATCAACGAATATTGAGTATCTTGTGTAGAAATTTGTTTATAAATACTTGTACCTTCTTGATGATGGTTGTAGTAGTTCTCGAAGTTTCAGCTCCGTACAATAGAACTGACTGTCTTGACGTTCGTATTGAAGATTATGACATTGATATTGATTGACAGACAGTTATTTTGAGTTCCATATATTCTTCAACTGTAGGAATGCTGTCCTTAAATGTTTAATTTAATTAACATAAAGTTATAATATGTAGTAATTTCAAATCCGAATTATCAATAGTATGAAAATATATTTTTTTAAATGACCCCTCTGTCATATACACTGAAAAAGTAACTGTTAGTGAGAAACAATCTATTGTTTAAAGTGATGAGTTATGGATATATGTTTCAGTAGAAATCAGGATCCAAAAAGATTCCTCATTCTGTTATCAATTACTGTCCAAACTCCTGGGTATCAAACATTCAATGTAAGTAAAACTGAAGCATTCGTTTAAAAACTATATATGTCAATAATTCTTAGTATTTCTAAATCGGGTGTTCATAACGACTATATTAAAAATGTGTGAACTAACTGGACAGGTAAAATCATTAGAAACATTAGTGTTTGATGATTCGCTCTCTTCATGAGACTAAGATATATATCTTTGAATTGATATCCATATTAATGTCAAGATTTTCGGTAGCTTCTGTCAACAAGTTTATTGAATGTTGAACAATTTTAACATCCGGAAGCTTTGAATTCAATTTTATTTCATCTGATAAAACTGTTATTAGAATAGTAACAGAATCTGACACTAGTCTGTGCATAAATATTAGTACTAACGAACTTCACAGTAAATATACTCTAGACAAACAAGTTAATGAAGAGTCCAAATCATTTTGTCATAACAAAATCTTGTTTACATTAATGACAAACTGAGTTTAAGTTGTCTAATTTTGTTCATAAATGTAAATTTCGTTTCCATAACGATAATCTTATGATATTCTTTTCCATACAACCATTGCTATTCTATGATTTTTTTATTTTATTTTGTTTTAACACATAGATATTGGTACAAGGAGGCACCAAATAAATATGCGCCACACAGATTTCATTTGATATGTGTGAGGGCTGTGATACTGTCAGGGTGCCCAAACCGAAGAAGGTGGCCTTCGTAGAGGGCCACATCCGGAGCCTTCGACCTGAAGGTCTGATCCACAATGCAGTGGAGCAACGTAAGGAAATGTAGTCCCATGGTAGCCAGTGACCAACAGTAGATTCATACGCCATTTTTTCCTTCAGGATACTGGAGCCCATGTGTACCATTGGTTTGGAATCAGGATTTTCCAAATCCCCTAGGTGGACTGTCCATGTCCACCAACCCGGTTAAAGCGCCGGACATTCGCTTTTTGTCCTCTCAATTTCATAAACAGCACCCCTGGTGCGAGAAGGCAGTGAGTAGGACTTCCCTAGTAGAGGCAATATACGCGTGGCCATGTGAGAGTATTTCGAGATGGAGAGCGGACTCTCCCCGCCCTCGGCCGTACCAGGGCATTTGAGGGCTATTCTATGATTGATTGTTATTGCGTTTAGTTTATTGCGATTTTACTAAATATTGAAATATTATGTTTTATTACATCATAATATAGAGGTGGTACATTTCAAATTAGACTTCTTTTTCAGTATACAAAGTTACTGTGACAGTCACAAGTTTTCTGTCCCTTTTTAGCTCATGGATCGTATACTTTGAAGTATTATTGGTTGTAATTTATCGTATTATAGAATCCAAATCCAAATCTCAACTGCCACATATAATACCTAGTTATGCATTGATCATTAGAACATTCAGAACCTAATTTATTTTATAAGCAAAGATGGATGATGGCTAGCAGTAGAATCCAGAATGCCTGTTTCGTCTTATTCGGAACCCGTCATCTGGATGTACTTGGAGTTAATATCAACTCTGAGATGAATGCACATCTAGCTGACGAATCCTAAATAGGATGAAATGTGCTTCCTTGATTCCACTGCTAGCCATTATCCATCTTTGCTTATAAAGTTTGTGACTTAAGATAACCTCGAGGCAGTTCACATAGGATTCACATATACTAACAAGAGACTAATCAATGATAGCCCTAAACATCAATGGGATAATTAAAGTAAACAATACCAGGTGAATCTAATTTATTTTATTTCACATAAATAAAAATACAGAATATTGATAGAAAGTCAATAGTATTACATAATTTGTTTTATTTTATAAATAATATCAAGTTTATTAATGCTTAATGGCAGCGAAGAAGAACCATACATTCACATATACATGAATTGGTTGATATTAACAACATTGGATGCCGGCCAACTCATTGGTCCAGAGATTAAGCTTTCATATACGAGACCTATAAGTCCTGGGTTCGAATCCCGCGAGCAGAATGCGTGAATACTCACTGTTGAGTAGTCCTATACTAGGACGAGATGACCGTTCAATACTTCTAGATTTCCCATGGTAGTTTAGCTTTAATTAACTCATGAATTCAATCATTAAATTATTAAACTTTCGACAAAACCGTCCTTCTGATAATATACATATATGTTCATATAAATAAATAACTATAAACGCACACCTCAATAGATTATTATTTCCCGTCAATAACTTCAATTATACTTAAATAAGTAATCTATTAATTTTCATAAACTATAATTCTAATCAATGTATCCCATAAAATGTTACTACAAAAAATAAAACATTGAAAAACTGACAGATATGGATAAGATTATGGGAGTGACAGTTAAACATATTTCCCCGAGACATACTTACTTACGCCTGTTACTCTCAATGCAGCATAGGCCGCAGACCAGCATTCGCCAACTCACTCTGTCCTGGAACTTCTTTTCTAGTTCCATCCAATCCTTGTTCACTTTTCTCATGTCTACTTCCAGTTCTCGGCGTAATGTGTTCTTTGGTCTTCCTCTTTTCCTTTGGCCTTGAAGATTCCACGTGAGGGCTTGTTTTGTGACGCAGTAGGTTGCTTTCCTCAATGTGTGTCCTATCCACTTCCAGCGCTTCTTCTCTCCCACAGTACGTTGTTGCTAATAGTGTTCGGTCAACGGATCTGAAGTATTTTGAATAGACAACTGTTAATAAACACCTGTATTTTCTGGATGATGGCTTTCGTGGTTCTCCCCGAGACATGCTTTTTATTTACTATGTATTGAACTTATTAACAGCTATCTCTAAGTAAATTCTAATTCTGTTTAACTGAAAAAAGTGTTATAACTTGCGGCCTGAGTGCTCTGTTGATGTATAACATGATGATACCGCCAATTAGAGAACAGTGAATTATCAATAGGACCAATGACGCATAAAACCTCGTACGAGCAGTTTAGAGTCCTTATTGGTCCTGCTTTTCGCCTAGCCCAGCCACTTAAGTCCAGAACACCAATCTCATCATTTGCAATATGAATCATTTATTTCAAGCATACTGGGTTTATATACCAACCAAACAAACCACATCGTACCAATAAAATATGAAACAACATTTGAACAAGAATTAGCCACATGTGTCTGTGAGTGTGGTAAGTAGTAATTAATAGACAAGGCATAATTCAAGAATGGTAAATCGTATAATAATAGTTTATAGGTTAAAATAAAGCTTATGATAAGAGAAACATAAATATGAATAGTTTAGTTAATCAACAATTATACGATGAAAATATACGCATAGTATTGGTCCACAAATGGATCCCAAAAATTACCATTCATTATGCTTATCGGGACATAACAAAAAGATCATAGTCATGTCTTGATAAGAGTTGGTAATGTAAAACATTGAATCTCAACCCCATTAATTAAAGATAATATCCCGACTGACAAGCTTACAGATTCTATGTCCAGTTTCTAGCGATAACATGTTTGTAAAATGTTAAACAGTTAAAGTAAATGCTAATAGAAACTATCCATTTTTGGTTTTTAATTATTGAATAGTTAAACGCAGTTCTTAATATAAACTGAATTCAAATTTTAGAATTAATAGATACTTATAATTACACATGCGCTC